GAAAGGCAAGGTGCTCTATCTCTTTCGAGACAGATACCCAAATACTCCTTTGAGGTTTTGTGGAAGCCGTAACCCGTTTCTTTATGGAGGCATTCTTTATTTGTTTATTTATCCGGCTTACTACAAGGCTTGTATTCGGGTATTTCTTTCATGATCAAACGATTTACCTTTGCCTTTGGTAACGTAAATGTTTAGTAAAGCGTACCAAAAACTTTATGGGAAATTTGATATATTCAAATCATCCAATCAGATTAAAGCTGTTATATTTTCACACGGTTGTTGTTACTAACACTAACACTGACTAATCTTATCAAACTAAAATTATGCCACAAAAGGTTAATCCCAGAGACAAATTCATTCAGCACGCTGTTTGCTTTTTATAAGAGCATGTAGCTTGGCTTCAGTAAAAACTCTGCACTGCTTAGTATTAGTTATGATCTGTCCTCATGATGGCGGTTCGTCAAACGGAATTTGTTCCAATGGATATGTATATATGCTCTATTCTTTCGCAGTCATGAGGAATACAACGTAAACTTTATTCTGTGTAGGTCCATAGCGCTAAAAAGTTCTAACTTTATTTGTCTACTTTAACTCGTTTGCGGTAAACTTAGCTTGATCAAAAATAGTAAACAAGCATTTAAAACGCTTGCATATTGCAGACGCATTATTGACCTACTCATTGAAAAGGAACGCCACACTTCACAATTCATAATGTTAGACTGAAATTCTGAATTAACACTTGTTCACTGGAAACGAACTGGTTGTGGCGACAATAAATGGTGTTGCTGAAATCCTTGTGACTTCATTTATCTAACAAGTGATAAAAGCAAACATACATCACCAACGAGTATATCTTTTCGCTCATTTAAAAGCATATCTGTCGGGGAATTCTAACTAGGCTAAGTGATAATTCGCGAAACCCCAATTTTTGCAGTCTAAATATTATGATTCATAACCTTTGTGGAAATAAATTGAGGCCGCCGATATGGTGCAACTTGACATAACGAACATATATACCTTTCTCCTTGCGATAAAACTAGTATGTATAGGTGTTTTCTTTTATCCCTACTATTTTCTCTAGTCCCAGTCACTCTCTCGCCTGCATGTCACATCACATAGCATTTATCGCCTACCCCCCACAACCCCAATTTACATCAAACTGTTAATTACTATACCCGACTTTAATCGGTTTCCCACGCATTGACTATTCCTTCTTTGGTCAATACTATCAGCAGTCTAGAATGGCCTAAAATATCTGTTACTCCCGTTGGCCCATTCAGGATGCTTGTACAACAATTGGATTTATTCGCTCAATAAATACGTTGGGGACAAGCGATCGTTCTAGGCTTCTGTGTGATAAGACTGTATCCAGTTACAAGTCTCGAAATATTGGCGTGTTCGATGAGGGATTTAATTTAATTTTCAACTCTTGGAAATCGGGAGATCGGTTGGTGTTTTAGATCAACGTAACTAATGTTTATTGGAGAGAATGTTCCAAATGACAACCGAATTGCTCATTTCAAATGCTCGTAAAGTTATAGCCGTCAGGTATCTTGTGTATGTTTAACAATCACAAAAGATTCAGGGGGTTCTCAAACGCAACGAAAGCTAGTAGCACCAGACAGTAGTCAAGATCTATGGTATAATAAGACGCAAATGGGACCTTTAGCAAGTAAACCATACTACAATTGGATGGTTGACTAACAATCGACAGTGAATTTTTGTTGTGTTTTTATTTGCACAGATAAATTTAGTTAAACATATTATTAATGCATGCCCTTAGTCAACTGCAACAATCAATTATCCTGTCCCATTGCAATAAATTTATTTTACATATCGTAATAAAATCACGCCACTGTTGTTATCGTGTTCACGTGTTCATTAATACAATCCCAAAGCGAACACCGGCCGGTCTCTTAAATACATTTGTTTACTAGCAATACCGGTTTTCTCACGCTACACAAAAGATATTACAGGTTAAATGTTGAACAGCTGTTGGTATAATCCACACGTAATTAACGACATACGAAGAGCGTCATGTTTGAATATGTAATAGTAAGAAGATCCAAGGCTTATTTAGTTTCATTCATTACCAATCTGTTTGCTCGCAAATGCACAATTCTTCGCACGACTTTTTGATTCACAAAGCTTGGCAACTATTAAATTGGTACGCAACGCAACATTCGATAATATTTTGTCCAATTCAAAACGCCCGCAAGGATAATAATGGTATCAAAGGTTACTGATATATGCCATTTATCGTTATCGCGCTGCTGCTAATTTGTCGTTACTGCTTTGTTATTGGTGTCCGCTGAGTCTATATGAGCTTATATAATCGAGCAACAGAATCTCGCTTGTTCTATATAACGCTATATCGTTGAGCCATTCATTACCTTTCGAACAAACAAATCAAACAATAGGGCAGATCACTTTTGTTAAATATATGCGCTTTTTACTGGTTTGGTTAAAATAGTCTTATAATCCTGGGGGACACACTCCAATTTAGTCTGAACAAATAAAAATTTATGCTTAAGACTATATTGTGATTTGTAATTGTTCACTCTTAAATACCGCGTACAGGGTGTGAGAATCGGCCAGATCCTCCAAGGCGTATGGATTACAAAAGCAAAACACTGAGCCGATTGACACCTTTTCTCAAGTGAATTGATATATAATACTAATACTGAGTCATGCAGATCGTAAACAAAACCAGCTATAATCACTATAATCATATCACACTCGAGATCACATTTTATTATCCACTTGCACATAATCACCTTGCTACGATTTGGCGTCCCCTCTCCCCCCTTTTTTTTACGTTCTATATCCCCTCCCTCTCTATCGCTGCCTCCCCCCACCCCTTTCGACAGAACGTTTATCCTTGCTACGCTCATATTTCTTACGCCCATCGGGCCGCCCACGAGCCGCCCGCGAAGCCGTTTCTCAAGTTATTCTTGTGAGTACAAACTATTTCGGATGGGCAAAATAAAGCAATTTTTGCGATTAGATATGGTTGGGAGATGAAAGATATATCAAGAATGGATTTAATTATCTTGCAGCAGCATTAGTCACCACGATTTTATATTAGTTGTTACTTATACTTATCGTGTTTTGAATTGGACTTTGCCCGAGGAGATTCTGTGTACGACGAGAATGCCCTCCTGGCCACGCCTGGACGCAAGACGATCTTTCTGTGCGCAAAGCCAAGTTCAAGGCGTGTATGAAATATTGCCTATGGGGGCAAGATGTGATCTCACTATTCTAAAATTAGCATATGATTTGTGATTAGATGAAATGAGCGTAAATTCGGTAAACCCTTATCGTCGTTCGATTCAATGTCAATCAAAAGGAAACTTCTGTATCACGAAGATGCACACTTTGTTAAGCATTAGATTTTCCCCACCCCTTATCCATTAACATGTGCCATCAAGAATAAAGAGCGAAACCCTTTAATCTGTTCCTTTAAGCAATGAATGACAAATCGACTTCCCAAATATAATAAAGATTTGCGGATATTAAAATATACCTCTATTTACGTTGCATCAAAATGTTGTGTATTGGAAACCTAATCAACCCAATTATTAAATATTGCCATATTTGAATCAAGCCGGGTTTGGTCCATATGTGGCCAACTCTTCCGTCTAGACGGATATAACATTTTCCAACCATTTAGTGCTATTGGACGCTGTGTATATATTATTACCCTCAACCGTGCGCAACGGTTTGGGATTCAATTGTATTACGGAAGACCAGTTTTACAAAAATCCTAATGGATTGCCTAATTAAGAAGCTCTAACAAAAGATGTTACGATTTCTCAATTAGCTCGTCAAAAAAACTTTAAAGTGGGCTGATCATTACCCCCTCGTTGAAATTGGGAGGTCAAATAGCAATGCATTAACAAAAGACCCCCCCCCCAGCCCACTAGTACGGTTTTCAGCCATCCATCCAGCCATCAGTGTCAACACTTTACATACCATAGTCACCTGATCTATGACGCGAAATATGGTTGGTGAATTCTCGAGAACAATTGCGAGAATTGTCGTTAATGGAAACCATAATAAAATAAATATTTATTTACCAAGTAAGTTAGAAGTTTAGGATAACAATTACTATATTGATTATCGATATAACAGTCTTCGAACAAAAAAAGTAAACTCGGTTTTTCTCATGTTGTTTTCAACAAGAGAATGCAGTCTGCCCGGGTAACCGTGCTTTTTTAACCACGGCTTTTGCATTAATATTTCCAACAATCAGCAAGCAAGCCTGGGGGAGTGGTCCATGGGAAAACCGAGTTTTCTTTTTTATTATTTTGATGGGTCTAAAAATCTTCCCAAAGCTGAAAATCTATTAGCCACGAAACATTTGCGAAACCATAATCATACTATAACATGTGACTCTCAAATAATACGGTTTGTTCAACGAAGCTTATCGTAGAAAATTGGGACGTGTACCAATCAGCAGATAAACTGATTATCAATGACACACTCATTGCATAGTATTTATAGTCATAAGGATCAATGTATGCGGGATTAAGGTCATTTGATCTCTCTAATCGTGGGTTTACTCCTGACACATTTACAATTTGGGTAAACGATTATGACAGAAATTTGCCGAGGGATTAAAATCACACATGTCAATCGATTATTAATTAATTTGCTTTGTTACAACTTTCTTTAATATTAACTGATTCATATCCTCAATCTTGACTCTATTATCATCCTTTTTCTTATTGCACAGCATATAATCTTAGAGAGGACGGGGGATTGGTGTTTGTTTTTTCTCAAAGTTTCTATTATTATTCAGATATAATACACATTAAGAAATAATGATAAAATAACAAATAATGTAACGAGAAGATAACGGGGTTCGAGTATTTACAACAGACCATAGTCTTGAATCATCGAGACTCAAGCTCGGACATTAAATGTGAGAGTGGATAGTATAAAGTACTAAGTAGAATGAATACATATGGTTTTGAACGGAGTCATTATTAGAAGGATCAAGCTTTTGCTGATACGCGTTCTAATTCAGTCCGTAGTGATTCTTGCGTTACCGGTTTTGCCAAGAAACCGTCCTAATTAATTAAAAAAGAACGGACGAGTTTGTGAGCGAACGAATTTTAATAGTTACATTACATACAGATTGTGCGAGTCATTCTCTGAATACTCACCATTCCACATTCGAAAAATCTTTGCGATCTTTTATTGGTTGTATAAGCAATGATTGGTATCTTTCTATTTGTTTCCAATATTGCCGCCTCCTTTCTAATCACAGTAGATGTCTCAACCCCGTCTAACCCGGGCATATCAATGTCCATGAATATTAAATCATACGCATCCATCCTCAACACTTGTAATCCTTCCTCTCCAGATTCTAAACACGTGACACTGTGCCCAAACTCGCTTTCGAGCATTTTGGATAGTATCTTGCCAGTTATTAGATTATCGTCTATGACGAGTGATTTTATGGGCGTAAAGGAGGAGGGCGGAGAGCAAACAGCCCGATGCGGCTCGGAGAGTACTTTTGAAGTGGAAACTGTTGCAGTCATGATAATGTCTGATGGCGAAGACGAGGCGTTCTCGTCTGAAAAGCTAGTGTGTGGTGGCAGGTCTGATTTTCGAAGAAGGTTGAATGTCAGGAAAAGTTGGATCGATGGAAGTATGATGAAAATGGTGGATAAGAAGATATCGGCCGTGGTTGTGAGAGAGCGGGGGGGGAGTGTAAAGAACAGTTGTTGGGGAGAGGGATATAAGTCTGTTGCAGGTTTGTGACACAAGTTCTCTTATATGGGGAAGTAGTAAATATACAACAAAATGTGAAATTTCGTCGTCGCAAGAGTTTAATGTTCTTAGTGATATATATAGCGTACGTTTATTGAAAAGCGAAATGGGTACAATATTTGATTGCGTCGTCTGTATGATAATAAACACCTTTAGAATCAATGATAAACGCAATTCTTAACGGTTGTTGGCAGAATAATCATCAATTAATGGGATAGTTATAATAGTCGTAACGATGGTAATAGAGTAGTATGGTACGTTGATGTTTGCAAAAAGAAAGTTGACTGATATATATAGATATATATATTAATGTTATTATAGCAAAGGTGAGAGTGTGCTTTTAACCATTTGGTAACTTGCTCCACCAGCGGCAGAAGCGATTCTTTTATATATATCGATCACAGAAAATTGCATGTATAGTATGCATATATAAATAAACAGATAAGCCATTACGGGTAATAATTATAACAGGTATTGTATAGAATAATAATATATTTATAAACAGTATACAGAAATTTTTATTTATGTTATCCCTTACTATTACCATTTTCTAGAGTGGGCGGGGTACTAACGAATGGATGTCCATAAAACCAAATATAGTTAAATATGTATTGACATACATAAACATATAGAATTTTCATTGTATCACCCCATTTGTACTTACTTAATGAAGAGGGTCACTCTTGGCCAAGCGCAATGGCCACCTCAATTTTATCACAAAATCTTGAAAAACATTGCCCCAGTCCAACTACTATCTATCACCCTGTCACAAACAAATTAGGACAGGATAGGCAGTACTATGTTAATATTAAGCCTACTACTGCCCTCAACCTATTTTTATTTTCATGTCGCTAAATGACGATATGAACCAGCAAGTCGAAATGCATGATTGAATTTTTGACAGTCTTGTCATGCTCTACTATAACAAGTCTGGTTTCTGCCTCTATTATTACTATTACTATACGACCGATCGATCGCTATATCGTGGCTTGTCATGCACGTTGCAGATTATTAAAAACATGATTATTCCGCTCAGCCTTTTTGTCGAGACGTTCAACGTGGAAACACGATTGATCTTTTTGTAAACCCGAACGAGTCACATTGGAAACATTTTATCAACTAGCGTCATTTGAGTGTTCTAGGATGTTTATTGTAATAATATAAATGAGTGTGTCAGATGACAGACAATTAATGAATAACATGCAAGTCGTATCTCACATAAGACTTGCCTAAAATTTCCCACCGCAAAATATACAATTGGTACAGAAAACAGTCGCAACGATATAGTGATAGCTCTTTCAGAGTAACAAGAAATCGTGTCTGGAATAAGTAACCGTTAAAAGCATTTTGTATTTCATAAATGCATTACCGATAAATGCATCAATACGGCTTTAATGAGCTTTTTGTTTCAGAACCAATGAAGGCAACGTTCTTTTCCTGTTCATTTTGTTTATTCAGAACTTGTGTTGTATATTTCTACTGGTTACCAACAACAATTGTTTCTGGATCGTTTATTGTCATCGTCCTCCACACTAACATTTCTCACTGTTGCTTTACCTTATGTTGATACGGTGGTTTGTGTATGGCTAGCCTTGTATGCAAGCTTTTATTTGCGATGCTTGATTTGTCGACGAAAAAGTCAGGGATTTAGAATAATAGGCGTATCTGGTCGGCGTGTGAGACGGTTGTGAATAGCATATGATAAACACCTACATGGAACAAATACTTTAAGTTTTAATTTGTGTAGGACTGTATTTATTACTTTTGTTGTTGTTGTTCTTATTATTCTTGTTCTTATTATTCTTATTATTATTCTTGTTGTTCTTGTTATTCTTGTTATTCTTGTTGTTATCTCACCCCATTCCTACTTCGTGATCATTATTATACCATCATTGTTGTTATCGTCCTGTTGTTTCTGTTATTATTACATTACTTGTATTATTATGGCGCATTAATATTATCTCTGTTAAATATCATCACCGTCAATCTTTATGATTATTTGTTATCATTTACGTCACCAATTATTATCAGTAAATTATTAGCATCATTTGTCGTAATGTGTGCAATATTGATAAATTGGGGGAATCGAGCAATGCGCTCTTGTCGTATTAATACGTAGACCAATCAATCGCCTCTGTGGTCTAGAACCATAGGTGGGAACATAATAAGCTTAATTCACAAATAGACATTTATTTCGTGTAACAAATCGATCCAGAAATACAAGACAACTATGTTTGCAAGCCAAGACCGGTACACATCTATACATGTTGTCTCCACATACAATGTTATGAAAATCATATAATGTGTTCTAAACACGAAAACCCATAAAGAGGATGATTGAATTTATGGGGTCTAGTATTTGGCTCGTAAAAAAGCCCGGATGTATATCAAACGTAATTCCTGCTATATATTTTTACAAGGTAATTTCAATGCCAACCTTTGGCCTCTTAACCTCATCATTTTCCTTATATATTTCTTCAGTCACCGATCCATTGCCCCTTGCTTTTTCTTTATTTCCTTTTCAAGCACATGTCCTGCATCAAAATCCGCCACACTTAAATTGCTCCACAACATTTTGGCGGATCCTGTGTTTGTCGGAGAATTTTTGACCCTTTATGAAAGGGCTGGAGTGACGATCGAGCGATCGAGCTGCTGGACGATTGATTGTGATATTATCAGGACTTTTTTGTTTATCATCGATACAAGCATTTCAATCACTCGCTTCGATTCTTCGATATGATGCAATCATCACAAGTGTCTACGACTTATTTACATTAGCTGACACATGGTTCCCGGTGCCCGACTTTTGTATTCAAATGCTATCCATATATGACAGGCCTGGAACCGTCTTACGTAATATATCACTGAGAGTATAAACCTTTAATATCTGTCTCCACGTTCGATTATCTGATGACTACCAGCATGACATCATATTTACGACAAATAACGAGTATTGCAAAGATGAGAGCACTTATCTATAAATCTAGTTAGCCAAACTCATATTCGATGTAGATCATTGAAGAAAGCGGATACAAGAAATATTTATTTGTGTGCGCCAAGATGGACAAGCGTTTCTGTGCTCTGCATCCTTTGAGATCGTAGAGGGCGTATTCGCCTATACGCAGCTCATGAGATAGCTACGTCCGAAAACGCGGCTGGAGCCAGCATCGCTTTATAAGTTGACCGTCGATTAACTAGTCACCAAGCACAATCTTTGATTGTCTCGTTATCTGTGGAAATCCACTACCGTTACGTTAGTCCTTTTTTTTCTTTTTTTTTTCGAGATCGTTTGCATCGTGTAACATAATAAAAAGACATAACGGTTTGACACTGGGGGCTGACTCTGTTTACTCCCTCCCCATTCATTATTCTCGTTTCATACTACCAAGCAAGCACATCTATCCTGAAGCAGTTAAGGCTCGGAAAAGAAGCATAGGCTCCATTACCATAACAACAAAATAATATGACTACTTGTATGTAACTGGTAGATTCTACAAAATATTCGACAATTGCTTTACTGATGTACAGAATAAAAAGAGTATGGTTTTTGTATTATGCACGCCAGAAACAACAGATTCCAATTGGTACCCCTGAACTTTGTTTTTTTTATATGCAGTAAAACGCCTTTTGCAATAGAATTTTATGTGTGTAATACATTAAGATGCACTTCTTGCAAGTGCATGAATTGAACGGCCCCGGCTTTGCGACCTGCTCGTAATACCGGTTATTTATATTCCATATGGTGTGTTATGGGTAATACATGATAAATTTTCTGTCAATCACATTCAAGATTAACGTAATTCGCCAAATCTGTTTACTTAAGCTGGACCCGAGTCAAGGTACATTTAATTGAGTTTTATTAAGAAATATACCACTGGTGGTGGAAAAGGTTGAAAAAAAAAACATTGGAGATAATGGTAATCATGTGGTCATCGAATATGCTTGATGGAATCTAGAACGTGCCCGGGCCAAAATGTCGCTAAATATCACCCATCACTAATAAGAATAACAAATATCTGTTTGTACGAAATCAAATTATATTCCAGAACTTGAAATGCTAACAATGGTAGTCTTTTGTCTTATTTGGATCAAAATATTAACAAATTGACATGGAAGGAGCCGCTAATATCGCTCTTTCTCAATCAAGCAATACAAAAGTTATATCGCAAATACTCATTGGAAATCTAAAAACGATTGTTCATTTATGTTATTCCCCATGATTTCTATCAATGATAACGAGAGCTCATATGACGTATGACCGAACAATTTATTGGTACTCCTATAATAATTCATCCCCCCCACACAATGTTTAATTATCGATCGATAAAGATATTCTTCATTCACAGACATATTTATACATGAACAATACTTACGCACAGCATTCGAACTTAAATTTGTGCACCAAAAAATTTGTACATCAAAAAATTTGTACACTGATCACAACAATTTTTATAGAGCATTAGTATTAGCAGCGACACATTGCATTCTATACGAGTCAATGTACATACAATTATTGCATCATATGAGGGGAACGGGGAATAACATATCTACACTTTACTGAATAAGGGACCTCTGCCTCTTGATATGTTCCGATTCATGTAACTACTGCAAAAATTATGTAATGTTTGCTCCGCTGCAAGCCATAATGTGATTCTTGTGTTACATCTTGTGATGAATATATTGATGCAAGTGTACGAACAATGACATTGGCAACCCATTCATTTGGTTTATTTCGATATAGGATAGTAATAGGCGTATTGATTCGTCTGCTTTGTGATGTATGTTGTTGTTTCGCGTGTATACTTAATAGGGTTTTGGGGTGGGGGCGTAGGCGTTAACCAATAAAAGCCTCATTTTCCATCTTGCGGGAGGGGAGAAGGACAGCAACGAACGAGGGTATTTATTTAGCACTATGTGATTGGACTGGATAGACGGACAAACAATAAAGAGCGATTCGCGGTGGTTGATGGTTAGATAGAACGTCACTTAAACTGATGAATGAGGAAATCTTCACTTTAATTCGTCAAATCGATGAGATGCCTAAAAATAATGTGATGTGCAGGCGATCCAGCTCTCTCTCATTCGCGACGATCTCCAAAGTGACATAACGATGATGTCCCAAAATATTTTAGCGTCATATCTTTTATTAATCACTCTCATATCAATTACTACCAATAATAATAATATCTATCCAAGAAAAAACCATGTCTCACCAACTATCGATCACGGCAACATACTCAACGTTTTGTTTTCAACTATACACTTGTCGAGCGTATGGTAATCATGTATATCGACAAGTTTTCTTTTGAACTGGAAGATTTGATGGTAAAACTGATATACATTCGATTCTTTGTGATGCAACTCGTTTCTGTCTCTCGTTCTTACGACACTTCAACAAAATAGGAAGCCTAAAGTACATATAGATATATTCTGGCTAAACTCAATTGTTCCTAATAAAGTGGACCGGTTGAATCTGTTCTTACAAAGGAAATGTAGTATTGTCTCAATTGGGGGAAAAAAAGATTCTACGTCTCTGGAAACCGTTGTCGAAGCAGCCGCCCCACATTGACAATTTCGTGAGAAACTGTGGATGGAGCCAGTAATCCAAGTAGGATAGGATTTGTTTCAGGTCCAATCCCGTGATTCAAATTATTCTTTTAACGCGATGACTAACTAGTTCACGCGTGATTATTCTAAAAACGTGAAATCCTTCAACATTCTGAAGGAGGGAGATACATAGATCAAGACAACTTTCTTTAATGGAGTTTTGGCTAATCTCTTGCTGGGTATATAACGTCAAGTTGTCGATACGATCGGGCTTTTTTTCTACTGAACGAGTGACTAAGGTAAGTATTTTTTTAGTACGGAAAGGGTTTACATCGAGTGCGATGTGAGAAATAGGTAATTCGTCGATACAACCTAAGCGGCCAGATCAGACTATGTCATTGCTCGATCGATCCTTGCAAAATCTGTCGTGTCCCGTGACAATTCCATCGTTGAATTGTATCACTAGTGAAAATGACAGCACTACCGGGTGAACATATAAGCAAACCGGATAAAGATTGTCATTTGACTTTAGTACTTGATATTATGATCTATACGCATGTATCACGGGTAAAAAAAAGCACAGATTTGTATAATTTGGACTAAGAATCAATACCATTAAACAGGAATGAAATAAAGACAATTCCTACTCTTGGACGCGGTGTGTATTTTTATTCTTTATAAATGTGTAATTCAGGCATAACACAACGCGTAAACAAATCTGTCTGAAATGTAGCCTACGAGATGTCCAAATTCCAAGTTTTCACGACATATCAGAGATGCACAGCGGAAACGAATATGCTAAACAACCGAATATTCTCAACTGGTCGATCCAACATCCTTGAGTGTGGTTATGAATATAGAGTCGCTCTTTAACACGATACGAGTTCAGCTCCTTTTTTTATATATATATATATCATTACTGAACATAAGCAGTTCGATTATAAAGATTACTTGGCGGTTTCATTGGTATCATCATCGGGACGAGGTTTTTTAACATTATAGCATCGATGATACTGCCTAGGCCATTTCACTATCACTCCCAACTCTTCAGCAGCGCGAAACACCCATCCACTATCAGCCAGAAACTGCCTTCCCAACAATACAAGGTCGGCCTTTCCACTAGCAATGATATCGTTTGCAAACTTTGGTTCTCTGATCAAACCAACCGAGCCAGTAAGTGAGTTTGTCTCTTTCCTAATCTTTTCGGCAAAGGCAACTTGGTATCCGGGCCCAACAACAATCTTTTGCGCGGGCGTATTACCTCCCGATGAGACATCCACAAGGTCGACTCCAATCTCTTTAAATTTTCTCACCAATTTCACAGAATCATCGACGGTCCATGACTCTTCGTTTTCGACCCAATCCGTGGCTGAAATTCTCACGAATAATGGCTTATCCTCTGGCCATACCTCTCGCACTTTTCCAGCAATCTCAACATTAAACCTTGTTCTATTTTCAAACGATCCGCCATATTCGTCTGTACGTTTGTTTGAAATGGGCGATAAGAATTCGTGGCCAAGGTATCCGTGCGCATAATGCAGCTCGAGGACATCGAACCCTGCAGTTTTTGCTCTATTGGCAGCATCGACAAATGCTTTCTGGATGTTTTGTATTTCCGGAATAGTTAGTTCACGAGGTTTCGCGTGATTAGAATCCCATGGGATAGCGCTCGGTCCGACCACATCATCAGGCCACCCACCATATTCGCGGGGGACAACGTACGGAAGTGTAGGATCACATTCTATAACATGTGGCACATTCGTCGTGGCCTGAATCACGTAAAAATCAAGGCAAGGAGTTACATGTGTGTGAAAGGGTTGGCAGTTTATATCTCCGGTGGAATTGTTCAATTGACTTGAAATACCAGCCATTACCCTACCTTTCTTCCTGCATGTGCTATTTGAATGGCGATTTTTATGCCTTGAGAGTGAACATAATCGACAATCCTCTTTAACGGCGCAATGTGATTATCATCCCAGATGCCCGCGTCGTGAGGTGATATTCTACCTTCGGGCCTGACTGCCGTTGCCTCAATTATCACTAATCCGACACCTCTCAGGGCAAACTGACCCAGATGAACTAAATGCCAATCAGTAAAGAAACCATCCTCTGAACTATACATGCACATTGGCGATACCGCTATACGATTGTGGAATGTCACCCCCCTGATCGTTAATGGAGTGAATAGAGGTGGAGGGTTTGGTGAGAGAGCAGATCCAGCTGGTGGATCTTGTACGGGGGTATAATATGGTATATTGGGGGCAGGGGTGTTGAACGTCTTCATCGATGCAATCACGCATAGCGTAATCTGTCATTGACAGTTATTTATACTCATTGTTGGGTATATTCTAACTAAATTCATACATGTAACATGTGACTATTTGATACAATGATCTCCGAATGTTCACAGTATATCCACATCTATCGTTATATTGTTATTATATTCCTTCATAATAAGTTGTACAGTATGTAGATACTGTAGGGTCCTATAACAAGGCATAGCAGTGCAGTTTTCTATTCAGCAACGCACTTAAAGTACAAACTCCTTCAGCCTACGACACACTTTAGTCATGTATACCTGTCAATAGTCGTGATTGCAAGTATTTATAGATGACTTGATTTATACTTTAACATTTTCCAGGACTTGTCGTTATTATTATAGATGATTTGAACGCTTATCTAACTATTTATAGTTATAGATCAACATCTGACTGTGTGAGCTAAAAACGATTGATATGGCTAAAGCACATTAATATAGATAATGGAAAGCTTGGTGCTGGAAAGTAATTGGAGAGCGCACCCTCCAGGCTTGGACATACGCAAATATTATAGTTATTGAGAAAACGCTCCACGTTATTTAATTATAGCTTATGCAATAATATTACCGATTGGATTCTCGTGGTTTTTGCATTGGTTGATATACGAGGGATGTCCCATCTCCACCAAACCTTGGTGAGGATAAAAAAATAATGAGTAATGTATCATCATAGTCAAGAAATCAGTTAAAGAACGTTCGAACGTTCACAACAACCACCAAACAAATCAATTTCCGGGGGCTCATGAATGTTATGCATAATGAAGAAATGAAGAAATGACATCACGATATAATTCATAAATTCAAATCAAACGAGCTCAATATTCTCTCATTCGTGAAATAGTCCATAACTAGCTAGACAAGTTGATATGTGTCTCAAGTTGTCTGACAAAGTCTCCGGAATCAAATGTAAAATATGAAAAATTTATTTTCGAAAGTCGTTATCATCTGTATTTACTATGGCTAATTGATTGTACTTTAAAATGGGTCCGGTTCATTTCATCGACCGACAGTACGTTTCACCGATCGAAAACCAATGATAAGTGGTCGATGAAATGATTGTCGATGAAATAAATGCCTCCCCTTTAAAATACAGTTCGGTCGAATGTTACACACATAATTATACATTTTTCTATACACTGCGACTTCATGAACTACCGCTTATAGAAATACTGCCTTCCACACACCATCATTACTTTTGACAAGTACAATCAATCAGCTTCAAAACGATACCAAAGCCGTTGTTCCTTGCGTAGTAATTACGGATGATAACGACTTTCGAAAATATTTTTCATGTTTTACTATTTGATCGACTGGGATTCCGGAGACTTTTGTCAGGGAATTGTGTAAGACTATTTAGTGAGAACCAACAAAGCTGTTACCATGAGATAGTTGTAAGAAAAGTTTGGTTAGTTTGCCCACAGCACTCAATTATTAATTAGTATTGGATTTAATCAAGCATGAGTTAATTTTTTCCCATTTCACGAACATTGACACGAAGACCCGAAGACCCCGAAATACCGAACATCTGAAACATTGAGCCCTCATGTGATATGTTCTATGATGCATATATGTAACATAATAATTATAATTCATAAATTCATTTACACTTGGTTACACTATGCATGAGAAAAACCATGTACGTACATTGTGTTGCAAAAATCGTTGGAATATAATTTATAATTACTGCTCCACTTTACATGTGGAATACCTCATTTAAATGTTATTTTCTGGAATTTTATCCCATTTCTCTACAATAAACTCTTCTGACAGCTCATTTCCCAACAATTAATTTCGAAGATATCAGTTGATCTAGGTAAAATAAATCTGGTGGACAAATTTACAACCGTTTGAGTTAATTTCACAGGTTAAATAATAAATCATCGACGAACAATCTGTCAAAGGAAATGATTATCGGGGAATGAACTGTCGGGGAAATGATTTTCGTGGAAATGAACTGTCGGGGAAATAAGTTCTTGGAATATTATCCCGACATTTTGAAATTCCTCATTTATTTCCCAGTAATCCGTCCTACTACTTCCTGTAATGTCATTATGTTCGCAAATGATCACTTATGATTATTAATAGACAAACAAAAAAAAAACCTAATTCATCACATTCATTCTCGAATCGACATTACATCCGAAATTTTTTGTATGGAGAGATGAAAAAAATTAATCAATAAATTAATCAACAAATAATGATGATAAACATCGGACGTATATCTGAAACAATATCGGATCTGATATGGTCAAAAGAACTGACCCAATTATTAGTTCAACATCACGAACTTTGCTAAAAGCAAGAATTCTAAAATGAGACATATGAATTAATTAGTCTGTAATTTTCTCTATATATATAACGTCCGTTCAGGATGGTTGATATATTATATTCTTCTTCATTCAAGACTAATATCACAATCCTTTATAATTTTCTGTTCTGGATAACAGAAATTTTAATATCTAATATCACACTCATTAATATATTTTCTGTTCCGGATAACAGAAAACTTCGATATCTAAAATATTCTAACCATCCTACCATCCTACCTTACAAAAACGATGAAATTCCTTTGGCTTTTCGTTATCTGTTGTCTTGTCTGTAGCATGTCTGTTCATGCATTCCCTAAAGTTCATGAAGGTTAAAATTAATTCTCTTCCATTTACTTTATTTTTTCACAACTATTCCAGTTTCTCACCATATGTTTAATACTTGATTGATATTTCATTGATAGGTCACTCTGTCAGCATCGTGAAGCGTTGTAGTTTTTTCAGTAGGCTTATTGGTGATTGTGATGATGGGGTTGACTTTGGTGGAAATTGTTCGGTTCTACCTTGTAAAGACGGTCTGTCATGTAAGAGTATTCCTGTTGGATCAACTCCTACTTGTCAGTGACACTCGCAATAAGTATGATTTTACGAGTTGTATGTCCTCCTGAGAAAAGTATACCTAGAGGTATGTTGTGTGGCTGCCCGATTTCATCAGTTGGCTTTTAACAATTATATTGTGACTTCAGATGCATTCCACAGCTGACCAGTTTCATCACATCCATTCAACATGTTATGCAGGGAAAATATTACCAAGTTATTTACTGACAACATGCGGATATTATCGTCAGATGTCATAAATCGCAGTTATACCGCCATAGCCAGATTTATTTCGAACGCTATAATTAATATTATCGATTCCTGTTATAGTAGTTTTGTTGAGATAATTCATCGAGAAAATTGCAATACTTATTATACGAACGAATAAAATTCTGAGGCTTTGTAACTGTCTGATTATGCTACGTAATAATGATTGATCTTTTTTTGACATTTCTCTTCGCGAAAGGAAAATTTGATAATCTGTTTAATAGCAATGCAGTAATGTGTTGGAGAATCTATAATGACTATTCAACGAACAGATGAAAATACGGAATACACAGTGAAACATGTTATAACAGACGCAACGGTTCCAACCATTTTCTCCGTTAAATCGAGAAATCATTAAATCGAAGTTTTAAATCTATAGGATATTAAATTACAAACCGTGTAGATTGGCTATGAAAGTTTTCCGTACCATAAGATAGGCGATAAAGCAATATTGAAGTGGAAATTCAAGCTGGCAAGAATCCGATTAGTATGTCATGCAGTTACTGCCAGAATTTCATTGTGGCTCGAGACGAAAACCGATTTTAAAGCGATCAGATATGGTGGCGCATACAACATGGAGTCTCCCATGCGTAAAGTTGTTCATTCCTATATAATGTATAGTAATAATATAACATAAAACGACCCCCTGTTGATACATACTATATATAATTAGATAAACGTCCAAATAGAGATCAAAATAAAGTCCTGCAAAAAATTGAGCGTTGCACATATATGAGTTTGATATTATAAAAAGTTATCATTAAAACTAATGTTGAAAACAAAAATAATTTATACCCGATAATTATCGGCAAGAACTTCAAATAAATTATCAAAAAATAAAACTACAAAACAATTAAAATTACTGGGCAACTGGTACTGGGATAAGGAGACAAACTTCCAGAGTTACAAAATCGAGAAACTTCAAACATTGAGACAAAAATCGATGGTTGAGATGATGGGAAAATGAATTCATAAAGACTAATATTAAACAAGAACCGTACGATGAATATCAAGAATTAGAACAAAGTGACAACATGGAAAAAAATTGAATCACTAGGGATTGATAATATTAATAAACAAGAGCCATATGATAATGAGATGTAAAGTAGAACAAAAGAGATTAAATATCATAAATATGAACAGACTGATAATAACATGGAAGAAATAAAGACGATAAACGTTTCGAAATTTTTTATAAAAACGCGAAAATTATACTCTGAGATGTTTACTGATCCACAAATAAAACGATTATAAGATGGACATCATTGCCTCTACTCTATTAAAATCAATACAAGTTCCACTAGTTATAAGATATAATTTAATAGAATGGGCTAACAAATATGTTAAGAGTCACATCACTATTTCACCTCCTCAACGCCGTCTAATGTTGGCACAGCCATTTATTCAGCCGTCAGCTGTTTTGGTATCGCAGCTTTCCTCTACCACCGCGATTTGGGGGCTTCTGGTATCAGGTCTCTGAAGGTTCCGCATCTTTTCAGCAAGAAAGATTTAAACCGCAGGTCGGTAGAAAAAATTATTTACCCACCAGGACGCTTTACAAATTAATTGGCCCGAATTTTGCTCCTAATACAAAGTGGTTGGAATACATATATTAGATCGTCGGTTATTGAAGGAGAAGTTGTATATAATGGTACGTACGTATTAATGGTTAGCTAAAGCCTTTCCCAATACAGCAATATCTCTTTTCTCTACTTTGTTTCTCAGTTCTCTAGGATTAGGATTGGCGTTGGCGAATACATTGAGTAGACTTAGCGCGGCAATTAGAATGTTGAATCATCACTATTTTGTTATACAGTCAAAGCAATCCGAGTATAGAGCAAGTTGTCAAAGTAGCGGGAAGAACGAATCGGGAAACTTTTGAAATCAAGAAAGTGACTCGTATGTAACTTCTAAGTTTTATAATAGTTAGTTTGGTTATTCACGATGTCGATTATTTTACTGAAGACGAAAAGATATCTTTTGTTGAAAGACATTGATATGTGAATAAATAATAATGTACAATAACAACTTTCGTGATCACATTATTATCCTTAAATTATTCGGTGCGACATACGTTAATAATGGGGAAGCAAATCTATGTGCGTTGTATAGTCGTGTACCGCACGTTAGTGTGGAAGACCGGAATGTTCGTCGGTTATGTGGTCAATAATCCGTGTTTTATTAACCGTTAAGAGTTCATTGTTTGAGGTCTTGTTCATAAACTGTTGTATGTGCGTAATATAGTTGGAGGCAAAGGTTTGTTGCGTTTATATTTAAGTAAGCTGTATTCGCGCGCAATGGAAAGAAGCGTCTGGTTATATATGTATGAGCAGACGCGTGTTAGATGACGTAAGATGACACATATGTACTTAAATATTATTTAATTGCTGTCGTATCGTCCTTATAAATACTGTTACCTATGCAGAAAGGAACCATAAACGGGCATCAATATATTGACTAGTGTACATCATATCGCGAGTTGTCATAATGTTTCCGTAAATAAGAACAATAACATTTCGGAGTACACGCAGTAAAATATTTTTCATTGGTTAATAAGTCTGACAAGTCACGCGTATAATTTTAATTAAACTGATTTCCGTGATAGTAATAGTGTCGTGACGGGAGAGCGGATAACTATCAACACTTGGGATTTAACTTCCAATGGAGGTGTGGCTACTCTTATTCACTAAGTTAAATATAACGACAGTTAGTGACCTTTTAATCAGGCTTTACCTATTTACGACACTCTAATTTATAGTTCTGGGGTGTTTGTATAATTCTCAACGCATTGCTAATGAACGAATATTTATCGTAATTGCCACGAGAGTAATTGCGGGACAAGAAGGCGAATACTCCTAAACGATATAGGGATTAATGGTTTCTCAGAACAAATCATTAATAATGTATTTCAGAGTATAAATTAATTGAACATTACATGAACATGATTAATTCTATCGGAAATTTAGAAGAGGTAAAATTTATTCATATAATCTGATGTTTGTTTACAAATAACACAAAACTACACATGTGTTTTTTTTAAATTTGATGTGCAAGACTTTTGTCCAAATAGTGTACATTAAAAAAGAAAATTTAGTCTTCATTCCAGCTGACCATGCCTTCTAGAGTTTGGTTACTGATGTCTGTCTTATTTTGTAAATAACCTGATAAGCACTGGTTGCAGAATCAGGAGGCAAACCTGCAGGAGTCCAGAGAATAATCTTCTCAACTCAGCCAAAGTAGCAGAGCATTGCACATTTCTAACCCTGAGCTCTACCCTGCCATAGTAGAAGGTGTTGTTTTGCTGTGCCATTATTGATAGAAACTCCTCAATTCTATCATACTGCTTCTCAAATCTATTCCAAATCCTCCACCTTTCTTAAGATCTCATGTTTCCCAACTGTATTATTAATTATATGCTTGCCGTTTGAAGTTATAGTAGTATAAAGATAGTGGTTTTCCATTGTATATAGAGTATGGATTATAATGAATGGAGAAGACATAATCAACTCCAGGTCCAGGATGTTGGACCTGTTCATTGCAGTATCCACTGGAGTCTAGGGAAGACTGTCGGGGTGTTGGCTGAAGATTCCTTGTAGAGCTGCCAAGTGAGACATGACTAACTTTTTAATATCCTCAACTATCGTATTTTCATACGATAGTTTCATTGGATAAGGACAGCTATCTGCCTCTTGGCGTGCTCCTTTGGCGAAACCGGGCCACTGCAATAGCGAGATGTGATATTTAGATCTCTTAGTAAGCACCCCGGTTAATGACTAACCATCCTCCAGGGCAAGGGGAAGTGTTTGATTCTATGTACGGTGGATTGACGAGAAAGGTTATCGTAACATACCGATTTGCTTATGACATAAATAAATGTAAGAATATTCGATTGTAGCGAACAGCCTACGCGTACACTTTGAAAACTATTATCCCATTGTCATCCGTCGAAATTGATATTTCCTCATCTCCAGCACCAACTCTCTTTCGCCCTCTACAACTTCTTCTGTGCCGTCCTCGGCAATCAATTAATTATATCTAAGAATCTGTCTGGAAGGCAATATGCCGTTATGATGTGACGGCATGTCTACTTCGTCAGGAACTGTAATAAAGTAAAGAAACCAATTGAACATTCACAGCCCACCATACTAATACCCCAGGGCTGGATTACCTACCTGACTGGTAACTTTCGCAAGCTGCTTTCAGTTCAATGGTTAATATTCTATTCACTAACAGAGGACACGAAACATCTCGGACGCGACCATAATAATAATAATAACAATAAGGTGTCATTCGTCATCGATTAACTAATCATGTGATGTTAAACAATTACGATCATACAAATTGTATTGACACGAAGTTAGCGAAAATACTTGCGTTTGGACCTTACACGTACTAATAACTTCGGAAATGGCTTTCAAAAGTCATAGACTAAGGTGAGAATTTCACTGAGTACTTGTGGAGTGGTTGTATACGAAGGTTCGCTGCCAGCTAAGGTGTAAATCGGAAATCGAAAGCGCGTTGTGGAAAATTTGCTTGCCCTTTGGCAGCTCTAACTCTACAACATGTAGGCTACTTGTTTAGTAGCCATTTAGTGTATGTATTAGTATCTGAGATTACGCCGCCACCTTGGTATAAATCGGAGAATTTCTTCGTTACCGAAACTTCCTCCAGCTATGATGTAAAATCGGAGATTCCCGAGCGCATCTGCAATGAACCGAATCTTCGTCTTTGAGCAAGGATGTTCTTGGTAGTGGTGAATAGGATACTTTTAAAACACTTGCGCGCTTATTTCGATCTCCATTGACAAACGCCCATTGAATTGGAAGCAGCTCGCGAAAGTTACCAGTCAGGTATCCAGCCCTGACACATGGTGGACGGCCTGCTGTGGACATTTTTCAATTGGTTTCTTATTATCTTTTTTTTTTGTTTGTTTTAGCTCCAACTCAGCAGATGTGGAGATTGCATGAACTGTCTAGACAATGTGATATAATGGTTGAGTAATACTCAATATCAACAGCAAATTCCAAATGAGTTCCATTCTTATAATTGTCTAGTTTGCAATCCAGTACAAGAACCATGAGATGTGCAATTGGTAAATATTTACTACACATTATAATAATAGCACATAACTACAGATACTAATTAGTTGTTTGTAGAACCCATGAGCTGATAGGTAATGCTTGCCCTCACCCAATAAATCAAAGCACTACACACATCATAGAATGATGTTACAACTGTCTGCATTACATCATATTGATGGAGGTTATACAGGCAGTGAAAGATCAAAGTTATGGTTTGGATTTCCGGTACGCCGTTTAACAGTTCAGTATTATTTTTTCACTTATTTCTTTTGCCTAACAATTATCCTATTTCTTATAACTATATCTACAGAACTCAGGGATACCTCAACTACTTCGCAAAAAGCGTGGAGCGGAGGGTGTAGCGTTAGTCAAGTTAACGCGCTGATGACCGCGCTTGGCCAATTATCGATATACAATATAAATGGCCTCCTCCTTAGCTTTTGGGTTCGCATGCTAATTACGCAAATTTTGAGACTCTGACACTCATATTCTATTATGAAGAAGACATACCTGGATTATACGACCTTACCGAAGACGAGCGCAACCGGCTCGAAAATCCACCCTGACCACTAAATTGATACAAGCGCATCTGCTTCAAAGCTGCTCACGTCACAATCTTTAGAAATCAAATCGACGCGTACTTCTTCGCAATAATCTATTGTTACGGCAAGCTGATCTGATGAATCAGATAAATAAGGTAAAATCTTCCTCACATCCATTAGCGATTATTATCATATGCTTGCTTATACTTCTCTGTTTTGTAGCAGTGGGATCGATCGATTACATTACAGTGATTCGATTGAAAGTGTTTTTTGGCCAAACTGCAACATAATCTTTGCTAAATACAACAAACGATTCTGGATGTTTTACGTTCACATCCGCATAATTTATGCAACTATGAGAACAATACGATTGGAAGTGAAATAACGCCTGGATCAAATCACAATCTCCGACGCTTAACTCAGTAATACAAAAGTAACGGCGTTTCGAAAAATCCGCAACAGGCGCAGTAATAGCCACACAGAATTCTCTATCCTTTTGTAATCTCAACAAAAGCGCTTCCATTGAATCCACCGAAGGTAAATGGTCACCGTAAACTGGTTGCGTTGTCATATTCCACATTCCCAGTTGTCCACCGAACAAATTGACAATCAGTAGTGCGCCAAATTGTTTTGTTACATATTAATGAGAAGATTGATAGCTTAGGATGTGGATGGCAGCACAAAATACTATAATTAGAAATAGCTAAAAGAGCGTGAAGATATATAAGTAGCTCATATTCTTCATGTTGTAATATTGTCCATGTTGTGAAATAAATAAAATATTACTGATCTTAGTAATATTCTCCCGCAATCCTTTATTATAAATATACATTTTATTTCTATCGCCGACACTCCAATAAACGGCTGTAACGGAATAGTATTGATTGATTGCTATCCGCTGATCAATTACGTGAATAACGGAACGAGAATTCACAATTAATTATCGAGACGATTATTGTTTAGAAAGACAACAAACAAATCGAAGACAGCCTTGTTTAAATCTAAAACAGTATTATTCCCCTTCGATTCTTTAATAGAATAATTGTTGTTATTATTTTATTATAGGTACCCTAATTTGTATTCACGAGTGTTTGAAACTCGGATAGGGAGTGAGTAGCGCGCATAATCAAAATAGGTCACTTGAGGCTTAATTTAATCTTAATTGCACAACTATCGTAGTAAGAGCGATAGTACGAGCTAAACCTGGTAACATCCCCCGGTCGGCGAACACGTCTACGCGAAAAGATAAATCGCTCTCCCGAACCCCCAAATTAATTCCCGACTGTAACACTAAAATAAAAGGATGTTCATTATTAACGATAAATTATATTAAGACGAAATAAACAATTCCTTCGCTGATGCGCAACCAACTTGCCAAAGATTGTGAATACCTTATGGTTGATTGATGAAATGCTAGTGTAATTGAAAGAATCTCGAGTAATGGGATACATGATATCGGTTGATTCTCGCCACGTCGGGATTATTGTTGACAAGACCGTATTATCTGTGTGAGCCAGAAACCCAAGAAACAGACATCGACTATAAGGTTGAGTATGAACTAAGTCTCAAGGTCGACTGATCAATCGCTCTCCCTTCAGCTGCGACAGTTGCTGATCTGTGAATACATTACATACTATGTTCATGTTATTGGGCATTCATTTTAACATTGTGGTATAATAACCCATTAGCAATTGCATTATTTTGTGAGCATGAGTTAGAAAGTTGAAAATAAAAACACACATATATAAGAAAGGTAGGAGCGATCCCACACTGCATCCAAATTATTGTTATTGGAGTCGTGGTCACAAGATTACAGAAGTATCTCTAACTTCTCGCTTAAGCTGATAAACTCCTTCCGAACAGAAACTTGGTCTGTTTAGTTTTTAAAGAAGACCATCCCAACTTCTCTTATATTATTTGAATTTCTTAATCTACTAATTAGGTAATGTAAAAACAGTCGGACAATACGATTGTTGTTTTAATCAGTTTAGCTTGTGATAATTTGTTTGTCTATCAAGAATGCTGGATGTCTTGGCGTAAAAATCATGCGTATGGGTTTCGTGCGAACTGTTGTGCTGCTTCAAGGTACACATGGCAAAGCGCCTGCAAACATTAGGTATTATTGTTATTTTTGTTTTGATTTATTTATTTATTTATTTATTTATTTATTTATTTATTTATTTATTTATTTATTTAACTAATTTTAAGGACAAGAAAATATAGGAATCAGCAAAGTTTGTCTTTAATTCGTGCGCGGGAATTTTTCAAAATCCACGTGGAACCGTTTCATATTAACCGTCTTCATAATCCATCAATGCTTTTCGCATACCGTCATAAGCCTGTTATCACTCTGGACGACAAACGCGATTTGTGGCCGCTTCATTTCGAAAAAAAAAAGGCATAGTAATAAGTGGCCTGTTCCTCACAGAATAACGTCCGATTGCAAGATCACATATATTCACAAAACTAATAAATGGAAATTTGCATAGGGTTTACGAGACGCAAAAACAACTCCGCGAAACCCAAGCGGATGGTTTTATTCATGCAGTTTCCATTGACTCTGGCGTTCGTACACCCTTCACTCTCCTACTAAAGGTGTAGGTAAAATTGGTCAATACGACATTGGACGAATTATTCGTCTATCCAAGCATATGGATAATCTTCTTTCTATAAAGGCTGCCTCTAGTTCAAAACGTAAGAAGAAAAAGGCCTTGCGACTTGATAAGGCAATCTTTGAGATGCGACGAAAAATCAAACACCTGCAAAGTGAAGTTCGTAAAAAGAGTGTCGCATTTTTTACTCGCGAATTTGATGCTATTATCATTCCTCTTTTTGAGGTGTCGAATATGGTAAATCGAAAAACAAAAAAGATAACACAAAAACCGTTGTGAAATGCTCTGTTGGGTCCACTATCAATTTCGCCAACATTTGGTGGCTAAAGCAGAAGAATTAGGTGTCCATGTTAATGTCATGTTATTATCCAAAATGAGGCCTATACTTCAAAAACTTGCAGATGGTGTGGGAGCGTTCAAAAAATAGGAGGGACCGAGATGTACAAGTGCCGACTGTAATGAAATGGCGCTCGGGGAATCTTCCTCCGGGCATTGTTTGATGGAGCCTTGATTCTCTCCGGAGATCATGCAGGAAATAGTACTATTGATATGTCCGTCCATATTGTGGTATTATTCCTCCAACAATGATACTCTGCTAAAAATAAATCAATTGAAAGGGAGTGTTTATGTTAAAGTTTAGATTTGGCATGTTTATTGTTACATTATTGTTATTGCTATTGTTATTGTTATTATCAGCATTATTAATGCGCTTGTACTTGAGGATTCCACCTATGACGTATTGAAACACAAATTTACTGTCAGACGTAAACAATGCTGATAGGGAGATCTCTTTTATTTGGAGCAACCAAGCATTGAATAAATTACTAAGCATGCCTTCAATAACATTTTATATTCGGCGGCATATTCGACAACGGACATGTATCACATGCATGGATATGCAAAGTCATTGATGGATAAGAACTGTCTATATTCAATTATGCTGAAATCCCTCAAATTTTATTTCCAACATAGTGACACTACCAACAAGTAAAGAGTTTGTAAAAATTTATCAAGAAATGTGAAAGAAACCTCTAAAGAAATATTTATACTATATATACTATATACGAATATTTGGATGTGAAGTAAATATACTCGTGTGCAAAATATACAATTCGAATAAGATTTTACCAATGGAGAGAGGAGGAAGAAGGAAGAGCAGATTAGAAGAACCAATGTTTTCGAAGCAGATAAAATAACAAAAACTACACAAATATGCGATGTACAATATGTAATCAATATAGAAATAAGTGAAATATTATATTGGGTATAAAAAGATATTATATACCCAAGAATGCAATGAAATATTAATGCTAATTGTAATGAAGCAACTCGGCTCTTCCAACATCCATGCATAGGTATTATTACGAGTATCCTGGTGTGTTATATTAGTAAGTAAGAACTTCTCCCTCCTACTCCTAGGAAACACAAAAATAACCTCAAAATGGCATGCTAAAAATATTTATAACTCAAAATCGCACGACTACTATTTATAATACTATGATAACTAAAAATAACTTTTGATTTTAAATTTTTGTGTACAGGTTTTTCAAAAGAAAAACCAACTCTACTTGATGTAAAAATAAAGGGGAGAGGGGGGAAATATTTAAAAATTAATTTTGAAAGGTTGAAAAAAAGGTCAATTAACAAGGGAAATGGGAAAGAAAATTGTAAAAAAATATGTGCAAAGAAAAAAGGATTATAATGTGGACAAAATATATACAAAAGAGTAAACAGGGAAATCAAAGGTCAAAAAAGTCCACTTGGTTGTAATTGAGTCCTCGACGCATTGGAACAAAATCCAAAATCAAAATAAGCGCCATAGAATGATAAAGGGTCGTTATTAATGTGTACGTGCATAGAGAACGAGTTGAATATCTGAACAAGCTGATCACTGAGCAAATTCGTTTTTACACAGCCGAACGAATTTGCAAATCCCATCTATAATAGTCTTAACAAACACTCCTGGGTTTGTTCTCCGCCTTAAAATTCACGCTTCCGACACTAAGACTTCTCCTTCGTCCGCCTTCAGACAATGACAACAAAATAGCCGCTCTGGAACCTTTCGAGAAAGACATAGTGGCACCGTTATCCGCAATATTTCCATGCTTGTCTACATTTAGGCTCTCATCATCGTAGGGTGCGTTCAAATCACCAGTGCTCATCTTCTTATGCATATACGTGAACGAGGATCTTTTTGGGTTACTCGAGACTGGAAAGCGTTGTTCAGGTGAAAACGATTCGTCCAAGGGAAGCGGGTTATTGGCGCGAGTAATTGGAGACGAGCCAAACATCAGATGAGAATAGTCGACCGACAGACGTTCAAGAACCGTTGGTCTTAGAGCCTCAAAGTGGTTTCCTTCGATATTACGATTTTTGTGTGGTTGTCTGATCTCGATCGCCGAGGTAGAGTAACTCATACGGGCCATGGCCTCTTCGTCGTCGTCGTATTCAGAGCCTTCGTCGTCAGAAACGCTTGGAGGTGAGATGTGAGTTGTATAAGTGGGTGAAGCGGATTGAGAGACGGGGCGGGAAGAATCACGTGAAGAAGTAGCTATGATTTCCTTCAGTTCGGCAAAGGCTAGAGCTTCAGAAGTCCTGCAAGAACATGGAAGAAAAGTGTTATTTAAACGGTTGATGGTGGGGGAGATAAAAAGCGGATTGATACAAGCAACCGCATTTTCATGACTTTAAAAAACTGATTAATGCTACTTACATTTTTTCACGTCCAAGACTTCCAGCGTCCTCGGACTCGTTTTTCACTCCACCATAAAGTTTCATGCTCTCCCTTTCTACCACTCTTTTTATGCTCACAAGTTTTTCGTCAGATCCAAATCCACTTAGCAGACGTAGACCAGCGCAGCACAGGGCTTTTTTCGGGTACGGAGCGATAATACTGGGACCCTTGTCGTTAACATCTCTATACCAATGCGGATTACCACCGTGATTACCTGGAATAGAGTTTTTCCTAGAAGATGGGTGTTCGGCAGAACGCGGTCGAGGGATTGCGTCCGTATAGGCACGGTCAGCGTTGGAGGAGGCAGAGCTTGGACGTGGAAGTGGAGAGGCGATGAAATGTTCTGTGCAAGTGCGGTCATACTGAGAATGAAGTGGACTATAAAGAAGCGTCATTTTGAATAAGTCGAGTTTATGTGGGTTGGGTGATTTTTCGAAAGAAATGTGTATTTGTAGCGTGCAAGTGTATTATGTAAGTAATAGTATATATTCACAAGTGATGAGTTTTGTTTTCTTCCTTTTTCCCTTTGCTTTCCGAGTCGAAGCAGTTCTAAAGGAAGTTTGGAGTTATTATTAGTTTTAGTGGGTTATATTAAGATTTATTATTTTTGCTGCCCTTCCTCTTTTTTTTGATGGGAAGAGAAAAAGTGAAGTTTTTGGTTGGTCGAGTGTAAGTGGGGTTCACCCGAGCTTATATGTATTTTTGACCGCAGCTTAGCATGACAAATGACGGGCATAAGAAATAATGCCAAGTCAATTAAAAATTCCGAGTCCAATGAATATGAACACAACATTAACCCGACTGAAACTCTTTTTTTTTTCTCTCTTTTCCTTGCCTCTACTCCTATCACAGCAGCCCGTCTGACTTGATACCGTCGTTTCATATTGGTCGGTCAAACGGGAGTGTCACATTACGTTATCAATAGAAATAACACAAACGATAAATACTGTTGTTTGTTGAGCAAGATAGAGAAATGAGATGGGAATGGGAATGTGCGTATGTACGAACACGTACGATGATGATATTATAATTATAGTTCTTCTTACACACAACGTGTCTTTTAACGAGGATGGTATATTGTGTATATACACACATTTTGTATTGTATAATACATATATTGATCTATTGTATAAATTCGTGCATCGTTTTCCTGCAGTTTGTCAATAACACGATTCTGAGTAAGACGAGTTCTATAGATAAATATAAGGTTTTAGCCCATTTGTATAAAGCTACACACTCTTTTTTGTCACTTTCCAACAACAACACAACAACGACTACGAAGAATCATTCTGTGCATCGTTGTGCATGCAGTTAATTAATATTATGATGATAAATAATTACAAATTTATCACAAACGATAACAATAGATTAGTGTTAAAGACAGTAGCACCTACGCAGAAATCACATGATAATAACAAAAACGATAAAGATCACTTGATTGTTCCATTTCGGGGATCAGAAAAACACTTTCGGGTTTTGCCGTTTTGAGCGAAACAAATTATTCGAGTTCAGTATTAGTATTAGTAGAGTATTCGACTATCCCATATTTTAAATATCCCATTTCCCAACAACCTGAGATCGGGAACACATGAAGAGGTCCTGCTTTTCTCGTTACGTAACAATTAGTAAGTAGTACGTCATTTGTATTCCCCTCCCCCCCATCACAAATTATGATGGGCGTCCGATATCGGCTATCGCAGATTTTGACATTAATGGTAAAAAAAAAATCCCCAACTTTTTCACACGAATAAAAGTTTTTTACTTTTGCTCGTGATGTCACACAATTACTTTAGGACGCAGTTTTTTGACAATATAAAAGTTTAATATATTATCGTGTTATAAATGTCCTGACCTGAAGTTGGCAATATAAGCTTATTGTGTGTATCGTTCACATAGTTTATTGCTTTACACCAACACCAACACGACACTTGAAAAAAAAAAGAGAGTTCTCAAGTATATAGAGATTATGATCGTTAATACGATCTTCGAGCAATGCAATGCTGATTGTGACATGTGACATGGCCATGTGTACATGATGTCAGAACTCAACGGGTTAATGCGTGGTTGCAGGGATGCGCTAAAATAAAAAATAGTTTGAACGTATCAAATACTCAATCACATAACACTGAATAACAAGCCGATCTTGTCAATATCAAAATATTTGATAATAAGCGAGTGCTTATCAATACATAATTTATATTTGTTATTATGCATGTTATTTATATTAACAAGCAGGGTTTATAATCTTCTGGATGACTTTTAAACCCTGACATTGCTATTGTATATATATAATAGATGTAAGGATTACTGTCCCCCTTCTATAGGAAATGTCTCTAAGAATAATGGCTACAGGATGGTGGCCAGACCAGCGAGCATTACGTGCCTTTTTGCGTGAGATTGGATATAATACAATGCTAACCATTAGCATACAATAATGTGTTGTCAACCGTTATATCATAATCATCAATTGACGTAATTGCCTTGGTGCTAATCTTAATATGAAATCTGCTAGTGAAATTACAGTTTAAATCTAACTTGTGAAAAGAAAAGTCGTTAGCCTCACCGTGTCAAAAAAAAAACCACGCAATATGAAAATTTTTTTAACAATGGCTGGGTTTTCGCGTATTTACGTATTGCGCGAATGCCTGGTACAAAGACAAACGTTGCTACGAAAGTTTAATTGCGTGGCCTTAATTGCATACTCACGTAGCATACAAGAGTTGTAAAATCTACTCATTACAACTTTTATCGCAGGTTGCCTTAATTAGACGTAGCTATTTCTTAACCCCACTTTTTATATGTCTCATTGCCTCAAGAATAAACTTACATTCGTATCTACAGCATTTTAAAAAAAAGTTTAAACTTATAATCGACGATGTTTCTCTAATTCGCTGCAAAATGTCACACCGAATAGAATTATCATTAGAACAGCAATTCCTAGTCAGAGTATATTAACAAATTACTCGACGCGTCTTTAAGAAGTTTCTTACTCCCATTCTTGGCCTCTTGTTTTCGAGGTGTTTGGTGCTCAAGTCAAAATGCCATATGTCAGAATACTATTGCTATGTGAATAGAAAATCAGAGTGTTAATACTGCCGTTATCCAAAATACCACGTGACTTACCTTTCCTGTGTTATCGTTATTACGCAAATTATATCTGTAGGAAAGACTCGACCTGCGTATTTGTTTTCTTTCTTTTGAATTCAATTAATAATATCGACGTAGAATCTCTTGATCATTCTCGGCCGCTTTGTGAAGTTTGCGCAACCCTTGAATTGTATGGCCTTCCAATTTCAATCATTAACAATTGAAATGACATTCTGTAGGACATCTCTCGTACTATTTGATCATGACCACAGAGTTAACATCACCAAATGAGTCCGTCTTCTCTAGATGCTGTTATCCAACACTCGAAGCTATTCTCCTATTTGTCACACTGCCAATACTTTGAATTTATGATTTAAACTTGGATCGTAAAAATGAAACATTTTGTTCGGTTCCAAATCTAATGAGATTGTTTTCAGATATAAAACTCTTCGATACACCCATAATATTGATACAGATATAAACTTTACCGTACATATTTATTTGTTTTCAGAAATAATTTCAACGTCTTTTGGAATCCCCCTATTAACTACCTCAACGAAAAGCCCCTTCCCTATTAGTGTCTAGCCCGTACCAACAACCATCTGTTACCCCTCCTAAATATTATCGTACACCTTATTATCCGCTTGTAAGTCGTAATGTGGCTTGCCCTCTCTCTGGATCATGCAGTCGATGAATTCGTACATCTGGTCCAGGTGCTATACTGCTAGCATCTTGAGGTGTAATTAGTATATACTGAGTACAATCGGCCTCACGTGCACTTTCAATCTATAATCGGCAAAAAGTTAATTATGATAAAGTGCAAAATTGAATAGAAAAATAATAACGTATATACCATCATCTTCATGCTTATTCGACGATTTACAGCATCCATGAATACATCAAATTCATCTAAACTATAGAACGAGAAGTGCGTTAGACAATGGCTCAGTTCTATTGTCTTATGACCCATATGCTTACCATCTTATTGGACAACTTATGCCTTCCCATAGGGATAAAAGGAAGCATATCGTCGAGAATGACTTCTCGCCACCAGATAGCGATCTTGGGTCTTTATTCGAACTCTTTCCCATTTGATCATCTATTTGAATCTAATATAAAAATAATATACGAAAAGAAATTAAATAAAGAACATTATCATCATCTCCAAAACATCCAATGTACCTTCAAACTTAGTTTTTTGTGGTCGTGGTCGAAATTAAGTTTTCCGTGGAAGCCACGTTTCGACAGCTGCCAGCAAAAATTAATCCTAGCTCGCAAAGCAATGTATTGTCTAAAGATGTGCCACTTGCGCATACGATTTTCCAGTGCAATGCCCAAATCCTAGTAGTCGAAAAATGGGGACAAAATGAGGAAGCTTCTATTGTCATTAGAAAAAATTATCAAGAAAAGTACCTTAATGAAAACTTCTTGGTTGTTGATTTCAGCCCGAGCTCGCGTATAAGCTTCACGCTTCCTCTTCATATCAGCACCTATTTCTTCGAGGCTTTTCCCATATCTGCAAAATATTTAGTCGTTACATAAACATTAACGCAAGAGAGTTTAATATATATATTCTATACGTACTGTCTCTCTCTTTCTACTAGTCTTGATTGAATCTGCTTGATTTCCCGGTCAAGAACGCTTGCTGATTTAGACACTTCTACTCGTTCTGGACAATAAGCCTCGGCTTGTCTTGTTGCTTCCTGTGCAGATATTCACTGTTTAAGTCTTGTAATCGCTTTTGATACATTACTGTTTCTGATATTGAAGCCATACCTCTAACGTCGTCTTTTTTCTAGTCAAGTCTTCTTCCGAACTGGCAACTTTTCTGCGCTCAGCATCAAGTTTGTTTGTAAAATATGATATATTGGACGATAGCTTTAGCCGGTCAGTTACCTTTGCTTCCACTAGATCCTGGTATAAATATGTGAAATGGTATATTGAGTACTTTCATGTCTGAAACCATAACGTCAATAGAATAACCATCAGCCTCACTCTAAATCTAGTGGCATCTTCTGACATGGCCAAAAGTTGCCGATGCACTTCTTCAGCTCTGGTAACCAGAGGACGCTGGTCCTCATTTATTTTATCAGATTGATGTCGTAGCTCGATGAATTGTTTTGTATATAATCCAATTTCCGCTTCTATTTCCTGTATGTGTCAAGTAGATGTTGAGTATGTACCTCATTGACATTAAGAATACAATAAACAATAATCAAAGAAATATTTACTTTTATAGCATCCATTAGTGCACTAATGTTGGCCGGTTCATCTTCCTATTTAATTTAGGTTGGATAAATTATGCATTACTTCATATATTCTGACAGTCAATGGATTCCTCAGAATGGATAAATACCTGGAGTTTATCTCTCAGTTGTTGTATTTCTGCGCGAAGCTGTACATTTCGTTGATTGAGCGTCACACATTCCGCCTGAACCCAGCATAAAATATATTAGTAACCATTTATTATAAATACATTAAACTCAAATTGTCTCTACCTTGAGAATATCATGTTTCCTCTCCAGTCTATTGACCTCTGCATTGGTTCTCTCACTTTCTTTATTGGACCGTTCGAGCAAATTTCTATTCTCAGTTAGCCTTTGGTTTGTTCGGCTAGTACGATAGAGCACAGTTAGTAATCTGCAGTCACTAAGTAAATCCAATGTCTACTTTTAGCTTACAGAATCTGGACATCAATATCATTGGTGAATCTAGAGGTACCGTAATGTTTAGGTATTGCTTGTGATAAGAAACCGCCATTTCTACAAATCGCATAAAAGAAATGATTTGTTAAACATATCATGCGCTCATGAACGTCAATTTAAGACATAAGCTATGACTTGCACTTACTTGGAACCAATGCGATATCCATCCATCGTATAACACCGGGCGACGTTATGAGGATATCCTCGCCCCTCATTATACATAACGTCATCTGCTTCAGCACGTCTTACGATTAAAATAGTTGATTCTATACGGAGACTGTTGATAAGTAGTCTCTTTACATACTCATCGTCAATCTAAGCATCAACGCGAAAGCCATGTACATTATGTAATATTAGTTTAAGGCTAAATGCATATCATAATAGACTTGTTGATTACCTGCAATACACGTAAAATCGTTAAAAACTTCGGCGCGGGTTCGCCGTGACTATAATCAAACCTGTCAAGACCATTGACAAGTATTGAAGATTGACTAAAAGCAATACATATAATACAGTTAAGAATCATTCATTAAATTGTTAAACTGGACTCCAAATCAAATTACCAATTGTATTTTCTCATAATACTAGCCAATAACTTCTGATCATGGTAATCAATTACCCCAAATGCACCCAAACTTTGTCCAATTACTGAATCCAAAGTCGGACCCCATTCAGGCTTCAACAATTTCACGTAAACTCCCAATGGTCCAACGGGTTCTTTATGCCATCGATGCTCTCGTTTTATAGCTTCTATGACCGCCGGTATCGCTGTACCGTATATATTCAACCTGTTCCTTTTCTGATCGTAGAGTTGTCGTAACCCTTGTTCTTCTTTGGAAACCTCACGCTGAACGCGGCCAATGTTTTCATCAACAGATCTCTTTTGATTGTGAGCAATTTCAAGAGCTTCACTTGCTTCGCGACTTTGAGATCTAGCAGCTTGAAGACGTGCCTCAGTAGAGGCCTGTTCCGTTTCCGCCGAAGCAAGAGAAGACACAATCTCCTCGTGACGTGCACGATTCAACAGTTCAAGTCTGCGTGTTTCTGCCTCTATTTTGGCACGGTGTTGCTCAACGGTGGATCTTTTGTCGACAATGAAGTCATTGATCTCTTTTTCTTCACGCTGTTGCGTCACGTTCGTGGAAGAAAACGAACCAAATTAATAAAATAAAGAATCAAGTAATAACAAATGTAAATATGGTCAGTTGGTTACGTTAATTCAGAATCTTCTAAGGAAACAAAATACACCAATGTTTTATCGATGTATTAAATAAAAAATAAAAATGTACCTGAATATCCTGCAACCGTTGTCTATTCTCTTTTATAGCGTCAGCTATTTCCTTCTTCTTATTCTGAAGCGGTTGAGCAGCTTCTGCTTGTTCATGGATCTGTCGTTCTAATCCATTAATGGCTTCATTGACCTCTTGGAGATCGGCCTTTAATTGCAATTTCACATGAATAAATACATTTCAAAAACATCCTTATATTATTATATCACGGCCTCGTACTTACAGTGGCTTTTGTTAGTTCTATCTCGACAGCTGGTAGACGTAATTTTGCTCTTTCAACTTGTCTCACAGCTTCTTCCACTTGCTAAATGACCAAATCAATTCATGAGCTCTCGGAATCATATCCGTTTCACATTCACTGTTAAAATTACTCACATATTCAATTTCATCTACTTGCGCCCAGGCCATTTCATTCTTCAACCGCGCAACAGTCACCTCCAATTCTCTAGCCTGTTGCATCTCTTTATATTTCATTTCGGCATCCTTTGCTTCTTTGTGAAGTTCAGGTAACAGTTCCTTCTTTCTCTTCATAATACTATGAATAGCTTCAATGCTCTCACGAATTAGTTCGTAATCTTCACTTAGTTGTGTGAGCTGTGTACCTTTCATGAAGAACTATTGCGTTTTTCATTAAAAAAAAATTAAGGTCATATTCAAACATAATCAAACGACGAAGTTATTTGAAATCCTTGTAATCATGGCACCTTATATTTGTCCTCAGCACTAGATGTATGTAGGAATTGTCGTGCGGTATCCTGCGACAACACGTTTAAAGGATTATCAACTTGAATAGCCACATGATCCATAATGGCAATTAGATCTTCTCGTCGAGCAGAAATGAGTCTTCCATCAGCAGACTTTATCTTGTAGCTGCCAGTACCATCGCGGGTTACGCGGCGTTCGATGGTGATAGTATCACCGAAGGTTTGGGGTCGATATGCATCCGGACCACCGTTACGAAGCTTCACAACGACCTCCCCAATGCTACCAAATTATGAAGAAAGCCGGTTTGATACAGAAATATGAAAGCAAATTGTAAATTAGGTGTATTAGATCATGTGCAGGCTATCTATGGAAACATCACAGTTAGAACAATAATCTACCTTGCTCCCTCCCGAATGAGTGATTTGAGACTTGAAGCTCGGTTCGTGGTTGTAGCTTTCCCACCAAGACAAACCGTTATCGCCGTAAGAATGGCGCTTTTGCCGCCTTATAACTTGGTTAACCAACTCAATTTTATACTTGTCAATAACAATGCAAAGTCATCAAACTTACTTCCATTATGGCCAATTATAAAATTAATCTTTGGACCAAGATTGACTTTAAGGTATTTATGACACATGAAATTAACGAGTTCAATTGAATCGATAACACCAGCCTCAGCAGTCGTCTAATATGATTACGAGCACATGTAAACACTTTGACATAAGCAATTTTTATGTATAACAGACATTGAGACCTACCCCGTTAGTAGGTCTGTTCCTTAACCGGCATCTTTCCATTTCAGCCACAAGAGAAAGGTCACAAGGCGCCGGTCTCGATTGTCCAACTTGAGACGGCTGGACATCGACCATTTCTACATCCAAGGATTCCGGTGTGGAGGCGAAATCGCCGGAGTCGTCGTTGTCTTCAACTTCAACTGCGGAACGCGCTCGTTTACGTCGTGTTACGACCTAGAATGATTATTGTCCGTAATCACGCGAGAGCAGGAAGTTGAGGAAAACAAGCCGAGTAATTCCTTCTTCAGGCTTATAAGTATTGACGATATACTGCGATAATAAGTACCTGTTCGGAGTTACTATTCGTAACTTCCGCGTCGACGATTGAGTTGCGAATTCGTTTATTAGACATGATTATTTTCTCGTGTTTCTTGTAAGAAGGGATACTTTATACATAAAAAAGGTGCTGGCTACTCCAAACACTGAGGGCTGTAACAAGCTTCCAAGAGTAAAGACGCGTGTTGCGGATAGCTTTGTTACCATTTTGGCTCAACAGAGTTGATCCCGTGATTCGAGTTGACTTTAAATAGACACGTGATGAATGTGCGCAGAATGTAAATTTGATTTGTTGTTGTTTGTCACATGATTATGATTGACATTCTTTAGTATTGGTATGGAATATCGATATACATGAAATTATGCCGATTCTCTGTAGAACGACACTCGAATCATGTTCTATTAAGGAGTGTAAATCTTAAAATTAAATCAATAAACAAATCAATGATGCAATATGCAAGCTTGGAAGTATAATAATAGTAATAGGAACTGATAACTTGCGGGATGGCACTCTGCGTTACGGAGATAAGACGGTGCATTTCATACATAGAACTAATAGAAGATACTACGAACTGTTGTTAAATTGTCAAAGTGTCAATTGAATAGTATCTTCATAATATTGAGCTTGTTCGTCTCATAAAGTTTGATATTAATGATACCCCTAATATTGTTGTTAATGTCAGTACACCGACTTAGGAGTGATAGCGCGTGGGAGCTTTGACGGATAAGATAGTAGCAATAAGCGTGATCTTTGCAATGGTAAATAACAAAGTTACAAACATAACTTGATTCTTTGAGCGTTCGTCTAAGCCACCTGATTATACACCCAATCGGAGCTCATTAATTTTGTATTCATTTTTGTTTTCGCTTGTCAGATCATGTCTACAGATTTCCTTCCATATTCTGTTCTTTCGGGAACATTCGCAGCATTAGCATCTGTCTCCGCGAAGTTGTTTAGCGACGCCCGCACGTTCTCGTTCACCATATACGTCTGCGAAGTAGTGTATGGATCTGGATGTGAAGACGTCGAGAATGGAGTATGTATTATGTATGTATATATTGATTCTTACGAAATCCAATTGCGCGTTATTTCTGATGGTAGTTGTGATGTTATGCTATTTCTGACTATTGCAATTAGTTGATCTATCCAATCCGTGCTCTCTGCTTCGGTCTTATGTTCCTGTTTAATGCGGCCATGTGGACTTTCTATACTAAAGCGCTGAATAAGTCTTCTAGCATTAAAGTAACAGTGGTCAACAGCGCAACTAACTTTTGTATGACGGTCAGTATATTAGTCTGTCTTACGCTTATCACAAATCATGTTGTTCCATATTAACAACTACCCAATATCTGTAACATTATATTGCTATCTTCTTTTATCTTCTATCCATGACTCTTCATAGGCGATACTTGGACATCTGCTGTTTAATGAAGCACTTTATCTCCAGTGGTGGTTCGGTGCTACACTCATCATCACCGGAACTGTTATTATAAGTCGCAAAAATAAGGAGAAGGTCGAATGAAATAACATCGTTGAATCAGTTGGCGTAGATGAACTATCAAATCTATCAAAACATTGAAGATAAACCCGAAAGTTGCTTGACACGCAGAGAAACAACACACCAAGATAATTTATAATGATCAGTATGAACATGACACTTTCTTTAACAATGCTGTACCGGTATCTGTATGAATCAAGACGTCATATAAAAAAAACATATCAATCAAATGCTCAACCTCTATTCACCAAGTACATACTAATACTAATACTATTGGCTCTGCGAAGCACGGGCTAAAAGTCCTTATTAGGCAATCAGTGTTCAACCCTATTCTCCGATCACGTGATTATATCATAAAGTCGAATACTATCTACAAATTGCTGTAACGATAAACGCTCGCTCACAGACGCTTGCTCCTGTTGCGGCCACAAATGCCTTTAACATCCAGTGATTGGGACGAATCGATGTCATGCTAACCGATGTTATGCTAACCGTAGGCGTCAAAGGATCATACCTTGATAACAATACAATTACTTCCGAAATCGCGCAGCAATGCCCATGAAAAAAAGAATCAATCAATATCAATTGTACGGTAAACATAGTAATAGTCCTTGATAACGTTGTTGTTTTCCGATACACTACTAGTAACATTGAAGGTCATGAGCGAGACAAACTTGGTTTAAAATATTACAATTTCAAATAAGCGCCTATTCTTGCTGCTACTCTACGGTAAAAGATTATTTGATTGGTAAAAATGCGACCAAGGAATAATAAATATACGTATTTAATGCATCTAACTTATTAAGAGAATGGAAAAGTCGGAAATAGCACAAATACTAAACGGATAGACTGTAACGAACCAATTTTTTGTCAACGGTTTAATTGAGTTATAAGTTACTGTAAGTGTTATTATAATCGGTATAAGCAGATTGCGATTGCGAAATGTTGACTCGCAGATGTCAGTATGAAGGGATTCTATACTCTCGGGACGATCCCCCAACGCTAAACATTAGTGTTAAACATTAATCTATGAGGGGCGTTTTTTTTTTCATTATCTCGTGGTTTTCATGTACAATCGGGGTTTTCTTTGTTATTTCATCTTGCTGACAAACGGGTTTTAACATCGCCGGATCTTCATTCATTTACTGAATCACACATTTTTGCATCTGATCATGCAGATTACATGTAAACTTATCCAGATAAGAATCCATCTACGAAATAATCCTTGCTTCGCCATCACAAAAATCTGCCGAATGCTTTGTCAGACACCAAAAGGGGTAATTTAGTTTTTCACACTAACCTTTATTCGATCATGCATAATGTGGCTTGGCTGTAACTTAATTACTACTTGGGAAATTTTGACGATAATCCTCTGTTTACTCAACATCTATCTCTCTCTTTGTCATTGTGTAAATAAATCAACATGCATGGTAATGTGCTATTACGCATAGATTATATCTGCTTAATCGCGCGTCGCGACTGACTTACTTCTTAACCAGCATCATCACCCAAGAAGAAGCGGAGAACGAAAAAAATGGAATATCATCCGTCAGTGGAGCATTGGTCGTTCTCATTCAATTATGAGGCGAAATGTCGTTTCTGCATGAGCGAACCTTTTATAACCCATGAGCACAAAAGACATTTACAGCACTTGGCTGAAATTAATGTCGAATATTTGGCAACAGTGGCGAAGCGACTCTTGGGGAATTTGAAGGAGGCAAACGGCCGCTCGGTGGATAGCCTGCAAAAGGAGACGTCTATGGAATTAAAGAAGGCGTTAGACATAACCTCCCGAACAACTACAACACCCACTACTACCGCTACCAATACAGACGTCGCTTTCCGAAATACGTCTTCAAGAGGCCGTCGCCTCTTTGTACCTCAACAACTCTCGCCGGGTACGCTTGACTTGGTCACACGGCTAAGTATTAATGACAACAAGTCGGACGATGAACGCACGTTTTGGCTCACCCCGCCCAGTAATAGTATATCTGAAGAGCTCTCATGGTTAGCGAAACTTCCTGTTGGTTGCAGGTTGACAACAGACTATTCAAACTACATGCCAACTGGGATACCGGCATATGTGCTGAAAAAACTGAAAAAGTTTAATTTTGTCGAACAATTTGAAATCTGTAGATTTTTCCACCCATTCGGTTTATTGGATTGGAAGGACTTTGACCCAGATGTACTCCGAGCTTGTGCTGGAAATGAGCTGTATGATGTTTTAAAACATATGTATATTGAGAGAGGCTATGGCACTGAGCTCGACTCGTATGCAATACCAAGACGAGGATTTAGTCGTGTATGGACATTAATGGAAGGAGGTGTTAATGTTGACCAGGGTATAGTTTTCCTCGCAAAATTAACATTATCAAACAGTCGATATTTAATTAGTTTGGATCCGATAAAGGTTGGACGATCCAAGAGATTTTATAGAAAGTTCGGATCCGAACGATTTCTACTTGTTCGGCTGTCGGAGAGCATTAGCGGTATCTCTGTAAAAGTCTTAGAGAAGCTAAAGAGGCAGTTATTGCGCCCTATAGATTTGTTGGGGCGAAAGTATGAAATGTTTTATGGAAAAGATGGAACGTTTTATTACTTTGCAACTAGTGGACCGGGCTTGGAGCGCAAGCCTCTGTGGGACATTATAAACTGGCACATACCAGTTTCGTACCAAGACATAAATATGACATTTAACAAATTTTTTAGTAGAATTTCGTTGGGCCTCTCCAACACAAGGTCAACCATCGTATTCAAACCGGACGAAATACGGCTCGTAGATGACCAATATGCAATAGGAAGGAATAACAAGAAATTCTGCATGACTGACGGCTGTGCGGCGATAAGTCTCGGGGCGATGAAAAAAATTGCAGATATGCTGAATGAAACGGTGACACCATGTGCTATGCAAGGGCGCATAGGAGGAGCAAAAGGGCTATGGTATATAGATCCCATGATGGATAGCAGCGGAAACTGGATTCAGATAAGAAAAAGTCAGTTAAAATATTGGATATATGGTAAAGACGAGAAATTACTCAAAGAAAGAGCAGACGATGAGCTTTTGAGAACCTTGGATGTTTGTAAAGTTTTTCAAGCACCAAGGATTCCCGGTTCGTTAAACAGTCAATTCATACCTGTCCTGGCTTACGGAGGGGTTAATGTAAACGTTTTTACAGAAATTCTTAAAGAGAACATTGAGAAATTGAAATCCGCTGTGATTAACTGCAACGATCCGATAAAATTAATCAAATGGTTAGAGGATACGGGTAATTTGATGAAAATGAGGTTGGATGAATCCAATTATGGTCCGTCATGTGGAACAATTGCCGATACCTCTTCAGACTATATGTCGGATGACATTCCCACGATATCAGCCATGCCAATGAATAACGGTGAAATAGCAATAGACATGCTAGCTGCTGGTTTTACTCCCAAAGAGTGTCCATTTCTTGCTCGGAAGATAACCCAATTTCTCAAAAACGCCGTGAAGACAATGACACGGAAATTCCGTATAATAGTCCCGTTATCACGTGTAGTTTGCTGTATTGCTGATCCAACCAATACACTTGGACCAGAGGAAGTATTTCTCCAGTTGGATGGGAATGCGGGGAGAGATGAAAAAAGTGGATGTCCATTTGGTGTCATAGAAGCTGATATGTTATTAGCAAGAAATCCCGCTTATCTTCCTTCTGATGCGTGGAAGGTGAGAGCCGTCAGAAAAGCAGAGTTGTTGGGTTATCGCAACGTGGTGGTATTTCCGACACGATTAGGACCTACGGACGAAGGATCAATTGCGAATAGGTTGAGTGGCGGGGACTATGATGGAGATACCGTAAGTAATGGTTGTATGCATCGTCGATCAACTTTTGAGAGTCTACTTAAGTACTATCCTGTAATTAATTGTTTCAATATTATTACGCGATATTAGATATTTTGTTGCTGGGATCCTAGAATAGTAAATGATTTCCACAACACCCAAGTACATCAAATTAGACCCGAGGTGGAGGAGGCGTTTTGCAAGAACGACAAGAAAGTAGTGGACATTCTAAAAGACATTAGAGATACCAAATCTGCCGAACGTATTATTCAACAAAAAATTGTTGATACATTATTTGAAGACATAACGAACCAACTGGGCCTGTATTCATTTTATCACCAAATATGGTCAGCCAAATTTGGCATAGACCACGAAAAATCTATATACTTCGGTCAGATGTGCGCTAAACTCGTCGATGCGACGAAACAAGGACTTAAATTGAAGGAAGGCAAAACCCAAGCCGATGGTCGAGAAGTCAGCAAGCTCGATTGGCCACAGTGGTTTGTGGACCAGCGTGAAAAAAAAAGAGGATACAATAGTCTCGACTTGTTGGACAACCCGGATGCATCTTCTATAAGACGATCGGGATCGCAGTCTCCGCTAGATATTGTAAATGAATATATGAAAAAAGAACTGAGTATATTCAATTCGAACAATTTTACTATAATATCCCATACTACGAACGATCAGGACCAGCATATAGGACGGTTTTGGCAGAAGGAAATAGAACGAGCGGGAATGATGAAGAAGTTGGGCGATAGTAATTATCTAGAAGATTTACAGTTAATCCGTAAATCGATGGACAATTTGGTAAACGAGTTCAATAGAACGTATCGAGACGCGATGGATGAAGAAAAGGAACGGGAAAACATAATACGCCAAAAGTCTCACAGAAAACGCGCCGTAATGTCTCCGTGTTCTCCCTTCCCTGACAACAAAATGGCAGACATCGATGAACTTTTCTTGTATAAATTCCGCACGACCCCAACACCCTCGATGTATAAAAACCTTCACCTAAGATGTACAGAGCGAAGATCGGTATATAATGCAGCATTAGACCTAGAAATGAAATTGAAAGCATGCGCATTATATTTAGCGAGTTTTAGAAAAAAAGACGATGGGAAATGTTGTTGGGCGCTTGCATTTAGAGAGCTCTGCAATATCAAAGCTTCTATGGTTGAGGCTGATGAGAGCATTGGATATCCGAAAATGACCGGTGGTGCGAGAGCTGTAATGGGAAGTGTATGGAAGACCATGAAGGTGGATAGGCGATGGTTAATTAGAAGTGGGAATTGATTGTTTATATTTTGTGCATAGATGGATTGAATTGATACCATTTCTATGATGTACAGTGTATATTTTGGTATTATACGTTTTGAAAACAATGTAATATAGAATGATGCGTCAGTTTAGCGCAGTTTGAAGCCATTTGAAAGAGCGTGTTGGAAACGCAAAATGTTGGCTCAGAATTTGCCCTATCTGGCTCTCGAGAATTAAATAAATCTTAGAGTAAATATAGTCGATAATCGACGTCATTGAATATAATCTTTTTCTCTTATAACACATCATTGCTTAGTAAGGATCATCAATTCCTACATCCACATGTGGATGTCCACAACCGTATGACAGTTTCCGCATTTATAAACTCTTCTTCCGCCGATGTTTTGTATGTCGCGCCTGTTTCCTCGGCCAGCCGCTGCCGGAATGCATAATGTGACCAGGTGACGAACCACTTTCGAATTGATTTTTCGTTTCACCATGTTCTTTACATTGATCACGACATCGTAGTTTTGGATCAAGTGATTCACCGTTTTCTTGTAAAGCTCGTTACGTAGATTCCTGATCTTTCGAAAGATTCTCGCGATCGCGCCATCTAATCTCTTCGCCTTTCTTTTTTTTTCGCTTCGACGTGGAATTGTTTAGAAGATCTCACTGGGAACTTAACCTGTCGGCGTGTAACCCTAATCGAACAAATCTCCGCGCGTCATTCTTTCCAATTTCTGTTACACCTTCAGTAGGTGAGTACATGACGAACGGGGTTCGCGAGCTTCCCTGTTCCGTTTTGGTCTTTCATGGACCCATAATAGGATCCAATCGTTCGTTTTTCGACGATAGGTAACCTTGCAATCACAATCGATTTTTTTAAATGGCTATTTGCGTTGGGTTTCGAAATGTAAAGGTCGTAGGTCTCTCTTGCTTTGTGTGATAATGCAGGGTTTCTTTCTTGGCGTGCGCATGCGCATCAGCGAATTAAAGGCATTAAGCAATTAGACTTGATCGGTTGTGTAGGTACGACACATAGAAGTGATTCCAATCCCTTCCCGAAAAATTTTGTGATCAGATGTTGATGGTATGCGCGAGATCCTTCTTCGACTTGAATTTTAATGTGGAATTTTTATCTTTCTGATTATAGTTTTTGATCGCCTCATCCACTGTTTCGTCGATGATGTTATTTGGGATCTCTTTATAGACACCTTTAAGCTTGAGCATGACATACACAAGATAACGAAGGTATTGGGTACTCGAACAGTTGAGGTAAAGTCGGACGGGTGTTTTTATTATTTAATTTCTTGCAGAAGAGTGTCTGTTATATTTGTTGCTATTTGTGCTCTGTCGTTTTCGCCCTCAACCCAGTTCTCGTGCCTTGTCGTTTCTGAAGGTGCAATGACGAATTTGCACCGGGTTTGAATTTCGTTTCTTTTCGTAACGTAATTTGCACACCACTCTTTATCAGAGCACCCTTATTTGCTCTGATAAATTCAGTTGCCCTTGCGCTGCACCTGCACTTGAATATGTGGTTTGAGGTGGAGGTTTGCGTTCTTTATTTGTTTACATCTACGATTGAACGCTAAAGGTGTACTGTGGTTTGAGGTGGGCGACCACTGTGTTATAGAACAATCTCATCAATCCCATCCATCGCTTCAGCAATTGTTTCTGAGCATGATTCGGGTACAATCTCACGCTCAGTGTCCTGTTCACACTTTCGTCTGTTTTTGCTTTTCTCATCGTCGAGACCTTTCTTCTTTTCTTCCTTTCTCTTTGATGTTGTGCGGCTCTTCTTCCTTGCATTCTGCAGATGAAGACGGTGTTGATGGCGAGGATACCTTCGGATAGCTCACGTTCGTCGGTTGTTGAATCGTCGAAGAGACACGAGTTTCGTAGCATGGAGGGAGAAGTATTTGAGGAGCTCGTACGCGAACTGACATAATCGGTCTCGATGGGTAACCACAATCTCTCCGACAAGACCCTTGCTCGATCGTTCCAATAAGGTTTGCGTTTGTTGATGCCTGATCCAATGTCACTGACGGGTTATTCGTAGAGGACCTCCTTTGTTTGAACCTTTTTTTGGTGGTGGTTTTGGCGGCGGCAGTGTTAGCATTGAGGGGAGAGATTATGTGTTTACGATTTTGATTTTCAAATGAGCAAAATATTGCAATGGTTAAAGAGTTTGGGGGATAATGTCTTTAAATATTGTCGGTATTTGAATGGCGGAACCGAAAACATGCATAAAACATGCAATCTTATATGACGAGACGGATCATCTGCTTTTACATATTCTCCTAATCCTTCGTCATTAAGGTTCGCATCTCATTTGTCATTATAACGAAAGTCTTTGCCGGCGGCTCGTTTTTTTGTCTTATGACTGGGCTTACGTCTTGCTGCTGATACTGACGTCAGAGCGTGTTGTTCATAGCCATCCACGAATAATCTCTAATGTCTGTTTGTGGTGGATCAAATTACAAAATTGAAAGTTGCATAGATCTGTACAGTTTTCTAAGGATCTTTTGAGATTCATAAGATCGCTTATCCGCTTTATCCATAAAATCCGGATATTCGCTTCCTTTGGGAATTCAGCAGGGACACCAGTTTTAGAATGTAATTGTGCCAGTCGCAAACAGTTTCCATGCATAGCACATATCCTGTGTAGCAACTCTGTGATTAATGGACAGAGGAGGATAAATATGCGAGGCTTCTTTGATGACCGCTTCAAGATAATCAAGTTTTTTGTTCGCGTCATCGAGCTGCAGCATTCTATTCGGGTTATCTCTGAACAGAGGATCGACCTCTCGTATTTTCTTCTTTATTTCATTACTGGTTCTTTATCCGCTTTTGCCACGTGAGTATGTTACTACATTGCTCACAGAAGGATTATTTGGGTCTGAGATATTTCATCTTCTAAAAGGAATTGGCCAACAAAGGGTCCTGTTGTCGCATAAAGCCCGCTCTGACCATTGCCAAATCCACTATATCCGTTATACCGTCATATCCGCCGCGACCATTATCATGTCCACCGCGACCATTATCCAAATCGTTGTAGACGCCCAGAAGTTCCTTTATTTTCTTGTTGATAATTTTCTCATTCATAGTCACTGCCGCGAACGTTGTCATATTAATATCCATCACCGGTTATCGTTTCTGGTATTAAGCAAAGGCGACAGTCGCATAGTTTAACTGTGCTGGTTGTGACTAATGTGGCTGGGAAACCACAAGACGGTTTGGTTTGAAGTAAACCTTAGAATGTATCGCTACTCTTGGTAACGCTGACAGTATTTTTTGGATCTGTGATGTACAGCTTAGAGTTTTAGACCATAATTTGGTCTTCGTAATCAAATGGGGAATTCCAAATAAAGAACACACAGAAAAAGTTTGCGTTAACTAGAATAAGGAAACTTGTCAAACAATGGTTCAAAGATTTATTATTGGTGATCTTTATACTGCAGAAAGTTGAATTGACTGCTATATTAGAACTATAGTTTTGGGTGTTAGTATCCAGTAATGCAAAAGAGCGAAACGATGTATTTGCTTAATGCTTTTCTCAGAACCATATTCCTGGGAGTAGTTTTCGACAGTGACAGAATATACACAAAAAAAGGGGTTCCTTATGAAGCGGCTTAATTATTCTCGTACCAAAAATATCAACACGATAATGGATTCGGAAAGTAACATTTCTTGCACTATAAAAAATAAGCAGAGAAAACAGTACTGTAATATGATGCGGGTGCAAAAAGGTTGAGATATACGAAAATCGTCACGTTATGGAATGTTTCAAACTTGAGATTTTTTAACATAAAGTTCCTTAACGAAAAAAAGATGATCGTTCGAGTTTATCAGTACTTTTTAAGTATCCGACAACGCCAGTCGCAACGTCAAGACTCATCACTACGCAAGGAGATTGCTTCGGTTCTCGGTATTGGGGAGGCAACAGTTGCGCGTGTGGTGCTGAGTATAACGGAAGTGAAATGAAAGATTCTCACGGCAAACAATCCAAGGCAGGCCCCCAAAAAAGGACTTGACCATAATGTTGTTGAATTTATACACAAGTTTGTTATGAGATATATCTTGAACTATAAATCATAAATAATTTATTTTGATTTAAACATTCCATTAATTTCGAAAAAAAAATTATGAGCATATTAGTTTATCAACCTTTTTGTACCGGACCATATATATTATATAATATCATATTGGAAAGCGAAACCCACCGCTGACGGAGTCGTGAAATTTTACAGACCATCGCAATCGTTTAGTTAACGAGGACAAAATTTACTACCAAATATACAGTACCCTGCCAGAAGTGAGTGATCACCACGAAAATTTACTAGTACGTGTAAAACATATGAAATGTCTTTCTTTTCAAAAATCGCTCCTACTCATGTGTACTATGCGAAGGATAATATTTTTTTGTATGGTTCGGAAGCTAATTGATTGTGCTTTTCGAAAAAAATAACAAAAAAAAAAAAAGAAGTATATTTTATCATTATAAAACAGTAGCTTGAAGAAGTGTGAGTATACGTGCTATACACATATAATTATATCGTGATTTAAAGACAGCTAGTTCAACTTGCTACCGCTTTATAACAATAATTTATAAAAATTTATTGTTAATTTTTTGAAAAAGCACAATCAATTAGCTTCCGAACCATACAAAAAAAATATTATCCTTCGCATAGTACACATGGGCAGGAGAGATTTTTGAAAAGAAAGACATTCCATATGTTTTACACGTACTAGTAAATTTTCGTGGTGATCACTTACTTCTGGCAGGATATCAAACAGGGCAAAAAATGGTCATTTAAATTAAATTATCTCAATTTTTAGTGGTACGAATGCAATAAAATTATGTGGTTAAGATTGTTACACGTTCTCAATATTTATGTTTCAATCTGTTTGAATGAGTTGCTCTTACTATACATAGATACTGTTATATGCTGGTTATACGTTAGGCTAAACTCTTAAAAACGCTATGTCACATGACCAGGGATGTAGTGTTTCTGTTAGTGCACCTGTTTCGCCTG